ATCTTCCATGCGTCTTTTCACTAAGCAACTCAAATCAAAATGAAGTTATTTTATGCTTGATTTACAGTTCGGACTGTCACCTTTCCAACAATATATAATATGTATATATTGTATTTCTTTCACGAGCGCCACTCTCAAACGATTCGAACGGCATCCAGCGGAATCGGGCACGAACTTATGCACTCATCAATATATATATATATACGAGGTTCTAAAAATGCTTTTTTATGGAGTTTTGAAACCAAACTCAAATCTGAAAAAATCAGTTATATGGGAGCCATGTGATAATTCCACTGGTTTCGATGATTTTCGTTGAAAATATTTATTTGTAGATAGGAATGTATGTAAATACCACATTTCGAAATCTTAGATGCTTTTTCTACCCAGTTTTGAGCAAAGTCGGCTTATAGGAGCTATGTATATGTTATTGCAGTCTGGTTTCGAAAATTCTCAGCACCAAAGTGTAATTAATCATATGTCTGTCCAGTGCACAAATGATAGTTTAAATGTATTATATAAGTACATCTGTGTACCAAGTTAGGTTGAATATCAAAAAAAAAAAAAAAATAATGAGAAGCTAGTTTACGCTAAAACAGACTGAAAGACAAACTTTTAAATGGGGGTATTCCTTCTTGTTCTGAAAGTTACATACTTCGGATCAAAGTCAATATCTTGTATCATTTCATGTACATGAAAGGTATGAAAAAACAATCAAAATGTACATTTTCATATGGGCATATGTACTTATGTATGTACATAAATAACAGTATCTACAAAGTATGGCACACGACTTTTACATTTCTCCAATATTCAGTGCAGATATGAAGCACTGATTGCCCAGCATTGGTTGTGATAAGTAATAACACATATACATTTAAATGTACATATGTGTGAATGATGTTATGCATAGTTACACCCCGTACCAGCTGTCAATGCCCAATTGCACCTTAAGCGCGAATTCGTGTGCAGCATTTAATCATTTAATTAAAATTTATTTTCATTTGACTTTCGTTTATTCATCGGCATTTCGCTGAGCTTCTTTTTTTTTTTTTTGAATTTTATACAATACCTTAGCAAATTTATTTATGCATACGATTGACGCTGCTACTAACCGCTTGAGGTGCGCCGCTTGACCGCGCTTCATTTCTGTATAAAAATACCTCGCATAAATGTAAACGAAATGAAAAAGTGCTTACTTGAAATTTTATTTGTTTACACTTCAATGCATAAGCTGCACATATACACGTATACATACATACATATGTACATATGTACAAACATAACGTCAGTGGATTTTAATGAACAGACACAATGGCCTAAGTTCAGCTGATTGCGTACGACAAGTGTGTTTGCGTGTTTGTATGGATGGGTGGGTGTGAGTCTCAAGCCACTGTTCTGTTGCGTACGTCAGTTGACTTGGAAACTGGAAACTCTTTGCACAACACAATGTGTATAGATAAATAAATGTTAAGAATCAAAGACAAAGCCTTCAGCGGAATTATAATTAAAGAGTTCTAAGGCGAAATTACAACGATTAAATACATACATACATACCATTTCACATATCATTCATCTTCGCACAAGTGCGCTAGTTATTTTTTGGCATAATTTTAATTAGAAATGCTGCATATGTAAACCGTATGATGCAAAATTGAGTCAAAATTTTCCGATGAAAAATTCTAAATGAATTCTCAATTATCGCGCTCCGCTTCCTAATGGGGGATCATACAAAGCTCAGTTGCTGGGTCGGAGTTGAAAATTAATTTTTGGCAGTCGCAGCTAGTAGCCCGGTCGAATGAGGCAAAAAAAATAAAATTAAAATAAAATAAGAATGAACAGCTTCAAACTTTTTTACCCCCGAATGTATGTCCAAATTGACTATAATATGCTTCCACCTAATTCTTTCTCTTTTTTGGCATATGAGTTGTTTTGTTTTAACACGAATTTTAGTATGCTAGACATTTTTTTTATAAACGAATTTCGAATATTATTTTCACTTGTTCCAAAGTATGGTTTACTTTTTATACGAGGTGTGTTCTAAAAGTATCGCGAATTTTGAATTTTCGCGGGCTACGTATAATCGAATTTCGATTTTTTTGTGCCGTTATGTTGGTACTCATGTCTGTCACTTATGCCGACAAGCTTTGCCATTTTGAATGTTCACTTAATTGTTGACGTGTTTTGGATGGTCTTCGATTTTTAATTTTTAATGAAAGTTTTGCTGACAGTTTTCTTCGATTGCAGGGGCGTGGCGCATCGTGAATTCTCGCCTCGTTGCTTGTCCGCGACTTTTTGGCCAAAAAACAACACACTATTGATACCGCAGCCACCGTATTCCCCAGATCTGGCCCCCTGTGACTTTTTCTTGTTCCCTAAACTGAAGAGGCCCATGAAAGGACGACGTTACGCTACGATTGACGAGATAAAAAAGGCATCGAAGGAGGAACTGAACAAGATAAAAAAAATGATTTTTTGAACTGCTTCGAAGATTGGGAAAACCGTTGGCACAAGCGTATAATATCTCATGGGGATTACTTTGAAGGGGACAAAATAGATATTCATGAATGAATAATTTTTGAAAAAACACAAAATTCGCGATATTTTTTGAACACACCTCGTATTATAGGTAGTATAACACGAACTTTTTGGGAAAGTTTCTATCGCGTGCAAAGAGAATTAAATGTAATATTAACTGAAAGTAACTGTCATATACCGTTTACCTTAAGTAGTTTTGCAAAAAAAATATTTCGATTCTGAAACCTGCAGCACTCAAATGTCGCAAGTATTTTTCTTCAAACCAAAATTATATTATCTATATTAATTTAGAAGGTGGAGATGTAGACCCATTTAAATTTAAACCGTTTGGGTCAGAATGATGATTTGTTTTAACCATGTCCATCCGTCCGTCTTGTTGTACGTAAAGTTTTCCCCCTGTTTTCGAGATATTTCAAACAAACTTTGTATGCAAAGGCGTGCCGATCGATCTGTTTCTGTTCTGTCAAGTCGAAGATATGAAATTTCGGGTTATAACTCGTCAAAAGGGTAAGGACCATAAAATTTGTTACTATTCTTATTTATTGGATGAGTGCATAAGTTCGTGCCCGATTCCGCTGGATGCCGTTCGAATCGTTTGAGAGTGACGCTCGTGAAAGAAATACAATATATACATATTATATATCGTTGGAAAGGTGACAGTCCGAACTGTAAATCAAGCATAAAATAACTTCATTTTGATTTGAGTTGCAAATATATGACACGAAAAATCGTCGAAATCGGAAAACTTTATTATATTGCCCTCGTACGATCGATTTGTTGTTTCTTTATATAAAAAATAATATGTTTGAATGAAATGTTTTCACTTTCTTGAAGATATACAGTTGAAAAGAATTTCTGAAATTTTCAAAGAAAAATATTTAGTATCGTAGGAAACCAGAATAAAATCATATTTTAGTAAATTTTGATCTCAATTTTTTTTTAAATAGCTGTGATTAGAAAATAAACAATCCTTCGTCCGATTTCACGTTAATTGTATCTCGAAAAACTGTGCACAATGTCGTCAAGATTAGTTGAGTAGATTTTGAGAACTTTTGACAACTGACTTTGAAAACACAGTTTCGAGAAAAAGGCTTCTGAATTTTAAAGCACTGAGCTTACCTGACTTTGAGCATGTACAGTCCCAAAGCTGTATTTCGGAGACTTTTATGCGGATCGACTTGAAAATTTAGCATAAAATTCCCGAGATGTAGAAATTAATAAGACAACAAAAAAATTAGTTTTTTTCTTTGCTGTGAAACCTTTATCTATCCAAAATTGACCTCGATATATCCAATATCTTTATGATACCAATCAATTTCGATTTCTCCTAATCCTTGCCGTTCAGCCTTAGAATGAAGCTTGAATCTCGATATTACATTAAGGTCACACAGTAGGCGAAAGACTAAATTATACCAACTAATTAACCAACTATATGCATAACTCTCACTATCTTTAGTCAATATTTAAAAAAAAAATGTGCATTCAACAATAATCACTCAGCTTTTCTTTCCTTTTGTTTTGCAGAAATCTAGTTTTAATTTGCGCGAAGCAAACAATGAAAACAAAGATAAAAACAACCGATTATCGCTAAATACTGATAACAAATATGTTGAGTCCGGCGATGGAAACGCTGGTGGTAGCAGTGTGAACGCTGGCGGTGTTTCTAAGACAAACGCCAAAGCGGTTGAAAGCAACACCGGCACTGGAAAACAAAGTTTTGATCAAGAAGACAAGGATGTGGGCACCGAAAAGGATACTCGTCAACAAAACGAGAATGGTGCTTTGCATCAGTGTATAAATGAGTTGGCAGCCTCTTTTGGCAATAATTCCAACAGTGGTGACGTTGAATCTGGCCGTCACTTGGCTTTGGAAAATATCAAAGAAATGGAACCTACTGGCGATGCTGACAAGAAACCACTCAAGTCACAATCACAGAAGACATCCCATTTCGTTACTGTAATTGAGGTTAAGGAGAGCAAGTCAGGCATGGATGCCGAACTGGATAGTGGAGTAGAGGGCTGCGAGTCAGCGCCGAATAATGCAACGCCCACTCTAAGCAGTTTTGATCGCAAAGCTTCAAGTAAAGTTGAACCTACAGCGCCGCCATTGTCTCCCGCACTAACATCACCTTTAATGTCAGCTTCAACGTATGCGGCACACGCGGAGGCTAAAAAGAAGATGCCACCAAGGTGAATACATTCTGCAATATTTAAAATAAATTTGGTTTAATAACATTGGATAAATGCACTTTTTCAGACCACCTCCCAAGGTTTTTCGACGTGTCGAGCCGCCTACTATACCGGGCCAACTTTCGTCATCTCCAAAACGTGACACACCCTTTTCAGGTAGTAATATGCCTTTACCCAATACATCGGGCCACTTGTCTTCATCCGAAAGTCCTGGCAACTCGCTTGAGCGGAATGTAAAACCTTCGGCTATTCTGCGCCAAAAATCACCCGAATCAATGGAAGCCAAAGCCTATGCAAACAATAGGAAAACTACACCAGAATTGGGCAAATTCAATCCACCAGAATTAATGGAAGAATTAGGACGTAAAGTTGGCAAATCCGAAAGTCTTGAAAAGACTAAACGTACAGATATGACGGCAACACAAAGCCCAACTGGTAGTTTGGGTCGAGCAGAATCCACACAAAGCCGCAATCTAACTGGTGGACGAACCAGCGGTACAGGTGTTGGTGCATCACCTACAGGCAGCTTGAATAAACCTTCCAAACTAGCGATGACAGATAGTTCATCGACTAATAGCTTAGAAAAGAAATCACGCCCCTCACTGGCTGCCGACGCTGAAAGTGGACAAGGCCAGATCGTAGGCTCAAAGGAATCGTTGGCATCTCAAGGCATATCCGAAATTGTGAGTAGAAGCTGATTTTGTGAAAAAAAACGTGAATGTAATTCGTTTATTGATGAAACGTAGAAAGAGAAAATGATTTGCGCATGCCAAAAAAGTTTGTAGTTTTTTTTTTTTGCTAACAAAAATTGTTTTTATGTGTACATACATAAAAGTTTTTTAAGACTAAAAAATAGGATTATGATCTCTCTACATTCTTTAACTATGAATATAATATGTTTTTGTGGTTTATTTTTATTATATATTTTTATGTTTATTTATATATTTTTCAACAGATCAAAAGCTATGAATCAGTTTCATCATTGGGCTCCGATTGCACAAAAGCTGCACAACACTTAGACAATGAACCATATTACGACACAGTGCCGCTGGATAACGGCGATGGTGAATATGTTTACATTAAGCCCGGCGGCAACGGTTCGTCATCTAGTCGCGATGATCTTTCTACACCTGGAAGCACGCTGCCAATCGGGTCCGCGACACATCTCAGCAGTCAAGCTAGTGTAACAGATCCCGAATCACCAGGCCGCAGCTCAAATTATGTGAACATTGATTATTTTCTACAGTAAGTAGCCATAAAATGTATACAAAACAATAAAAAAGATCGAAAAAATTTGCATAACTCAATTTTTTTTATTATAGTCAAAGTAATGAAACACGTTCAAGTTCTCTAGATAGTGATGGTGAATATGATGGTCCGCCAATAATGCGAACAATCTCTCATGATGAACAAAACTCACAAACGCCCAGTGCTTTAAGGAAGGTAATAAATATTTTCTCTACACACGAAAACACTCAACTCCATTCTGCCTGTTATGCGCCATTTTTACAAATACTGGGACTAGTTGTAATAGTTGTTAATAAAATTTATTTGTTCCAAAAATAATCAAATATTAACATGAAATTTAATTATTAACAAATACATGCACACAATAATTATACATATGCATATATATGTTTGTACTAAATATTTGTGTAGGAAAATAATATTTATTATTCATTCCAACTAAATTGAATAATAGTTTTATAATAATATATTTTTGGAACAAATATTGAACTCCAACTTGTATATTTCTTTAAACATCTAAACAGTTAAACTTCACACATACTAACTACGGTTTTATCATTCTTATTTCTACACTTTTCCCCAGCAGAATTTAGTATCCGCAATACTAGTGAGTATTTAATATATAGTTTCTTAATTATTTTATATTGTAAATGAAATTAACCATAAATCTATACCTACATACATGTGCCTAATACCGAAATCTACTAAAACAACAACGGTGCCATCCGATTTTAAACTCGGGCATTAATCAAATCAAATTAAAAATACGCTTCTTTAAAAATACATTCGCGGCTATTAATACTATGGAACTAATAGATCTGTAGCGAGCCTACTCCGCAAGACCGATCTATGCACCAGATTTTGTTTACTACATTTATGATAAGCTTCCGGGTATCTCGCGTTCGGTCACGAACTTTCTTATATGTTTTTTTTTCTAATTTTGTGAATGTGGAAATGAACTTTAGAAATAATAATTTGCTTTAGTCGAGTGGTTAGCAGTGCATATTAGCCTGACAAGATTAGCATTCAAAATTATAAAAAAATAATTTTTCCCTCCGAGGGTATCTCTGACGTGACATAAAAACCTCTGCTTAAAATACCTCAACGCCGCTTGGCTTGAAATAAACTGAGGGCCGGTCTCCTCTTTTGTTGGAGAATTTTCAAGACACCCACCACAAATGGATGGGCTCGGCCTCAAATCAGTTATGAATCCAATTTTTTCTTTATGTGCATATATATAATTAAATAAAGATATATATATTAATGCACTTGACATCGTTTTAGGTCTCTGGCAACGCACGTGGCGCTAAAATACGCTCCATATTGAGCAGTATTATACAAAGTGAAACCATTTATGTGGAATGTCTAAATAAAATGATACAGGTATGTATTATATTCTCAGCTTCCACCACCAACTGTATTAATATGTTTTTAAAAATTTTCTTTTCCTCCCCCTGAACAGTATAAGAGAGCAATACACGCAACACTCGGCACATCCCAGCCTGTGATTAAGGAGGAGGAAGAAAACACGATTTTCTTTAATATCGACGAGCTCTACGAAGTGCATACACGATTTCTAAATGATTTAAAAACAATTGTAGCGCACGAAGGTGGAGACGTTCTAATCGGTGAGCCGTTTAAACGTCTCGCCGATAACTTCAGCTTATATAGTGCTTTCCTGCATAACTATGGACAGGCCATTGAAACTGTGAAGAAATGCAGCGCTAATAATCCTCAATTCAAACAGATCGTCTCAACAATCGTTGTGAATCTACATACCGAACAATCGCTTACGCTGGAGGATTTATTACATAAGCCGGTGGCTCGTGTACAAATCAATGCTTTGGTTTTTAACGATTTGTTGCGCGAAACGCCACCCAATCATCCTGATCATCAGCCTTTGCGCCAAGCTCACAAAACCATACACCTGTTTCTGAAGCAATTCAATGTTGTCAATCAACGTTTGCCTACCGAATCGAATAAAAATCTGCGTCGAATGGTTAAAAATTCGTTCATTGTTGAACTGGTGGATGGTCATCGTAAATTGCGGCATCTCTTCCTATTCAATGATGTTATCGCTTGCGCTAAGTACAAGGCGTCGGGACGTGATCGCATTGATTATGAACTTAAATGGTTTATACCGTTGAAGGATGTCGTAGTGTTCGAAGAGGCAGATGCAACCGCTGACCTCAAGGAGTCTAGTCCTGCAAATATATTGCAATTGAAGACACAAGCCTGTACAGTACGTGATCAATTATTACTTGAAGAGAAGGATGATAAAGGACGAAAGTCGAATGGATTGCGATCAGGTGATAAATATCGGCGCAAATTGGCCGACTTAGAGTCACAATTGGTATTGGCCTCTCCAAATTTAGTCTTCCGCATTGCCAATAAAGCTACTAACAAGACGATAACGTTCTTTTTGAGTTCAGATTTCGAGCGTACCCAGTGGATTGAGTCAATCTTATCACTGAAGGTTAGTAAAGAGAAAAAAGTTGCTTACGTAATCAATTTTTTTTTTTGGTATCCTAACGCATTCCATTTTGCAGCAAACATGTAATATACCTGGTGCAAATACTATAAACGCATTGGAAGTGCATGCTTTTATCGTTGCCATGCAAAAGGGTATGAAAACTGAAATGGGTTCATATCTAATGCGCAACACCAACGACGAAAGTCTGTTAGTAGGCGATCTGCATATGACAGTGCATGGCTTGACTGGTCTCGATCAACCTGCCGATTTGTATATTTGTATAGAAGTGGATTCTTATGGACATTACTTCCGGAAAGCTACGACAAAGATGGTTTGTCGCAGCATAAGCCCACTGTGGAACGAAAGTTTCGTATTGGAACTAGAAGGCAGCCAGAATGTCCGAATACTTTTATATGAAGCTCACGAACGACCAAAATTACGCGCTAAGCATGTGCTAAAAGTAATTAAAATTATTTACTTTAAATTCTTTCAAATAAGTGTCACTCGAATTTACGGTTTTTTTTTCTCCATTATTATAGCTCAGTCGCAGTTGGCTGCAAGAGACGCCTATGTCGCGCATACTAAAACTTGGAGAGACAATAACGCTGAATACTACACTTCGGTTTGTGCCCGGCGAAGTGACACTACGACGTGTACCAACATCTAAACCGGGAGCTCTCTTCGGTGCCAAAATGAGTCAGATTTTAAAGTGAGAACTTTCGCAGTCTATCGATATGAACAGTTTTATTTATTATTTTTGTATCTTATCCAGGCGTGAGAAGCGTGACATTCCATTTATAATCAGTGCCTGCATACGGGAAGTAGAACGACGTGGCATGTCTGAAGTGGGTATTTACCGCGTGAGTGGTTCTGCTTCTGATTTGGCCAAATTGAAGAAATCTTTTGAAACAAGTATGTAATTTTGAATGAGTTTGAACAATCATACATACATATGTATGTTATGTTACACTTACCCTAATTGAAATTCAATTTACACTCTAGATGCCTATGAAGCCGAGCAACTACTAAAAGATGTGGATATACATTCAGTTACTGGTATTCTGAAGTCATATCTGCGCGAGTTGCCTGAAGCATTATTCACAGATGCTCTCTATCCGAAATTTTTTGAAACGTTCAGTGCATTTAGTAACAACAACGAAGCAGCACGCATAAACGAACTCTTAAAAGTATTTGAAGAATTGCCACCAGCAAACAAAGCATCCATAAGTCATATTTTAGATCATTTAATTAGGTAAGATATGGACGCAGAATTCGCTATGAAACTTATTTCATAATTGATTTTCACCTCTTTTCAGAGTGCACCATCAGGAAACGGACAATAAAATGTCGCTGCATAACCTAGCAATGGTATTCGGTCCCACGTTATTACGACCCGGACAAACGCAAGCCAAACAGAAAGACCTATTAGCTTCTAGTACTGTGGACGTAATGGCACAAGCAGGAATACTCTATTGTTTCCTGCAGGCGCGCATCAAAAAGGATTAAATTTTACAATCATAAGCAAACTGACAGTGATTTAAATGGAAAATGAAAATCAGATATGTTGTATAATGCATATATTTTTGTAGCGAGCAAAACGCCTTTGTATGCATACGCATAAACTGCGTCAGAGGAATTATTCTTATAACTACGTAGCTTCCATTGTATGTATATGCAAAACAAAAGTCGACACTTAGCTGCATTAAAGCGGCATATGAGTAGATGAGCAATCAGATTGAGGAAATAAACATGCTTATTAAAGTTAGATCTCCACAATTTTGTAATTTATGAGTAGAAATATCCCTCAAATGTGTGTAAAGCAGTTTGAAAATGTGAGAGAAAAGTGCCGCAGAAATATAATTTTTATAATGGATACGTATACAACATTAAAAAAGGAAACAAAAAAATCATAAAGAAAGTATTGATTCAAATGCACTTTAACACTGCTGCAAATAATAAAATAATAAATATATTTATCTACATGCTCCACACCATAGACTTTGCACAGCTTAAACCATGTATTACGGATGCTATTTAGAACTTGTCCGTTTACAATATCAATATACATACATACAACAGAATCTATATACACACTAATACTTAAAACACAAAAATTTAGCTGCTCAACAAGCATTTCGTAATGTTTATGAATATTATTAATATTTTTTGCATTTTAATCTATTTGAAAAAATATACGCTGGATACCCAATATTTAATACATGAAAACAAAAGCAGTTAGTTCAGAGTGAATAGATGAAATTTTCGCGGTTGCTAAATTTGTTAAGTTCATAAAAATCATAAATATTGATACGCGCAAGCTCCGTAGTTTTTTCTATGTAATTAAATGTGGCTTGTAATCCTAGTTTTGATTTTTGTTATTAAATTTTCTTACCAATCACTGCCTATCGAGTGCTTCTTGGCTTACCTGTTTCAACTATTTAAAATGAGTTACAACTTTTTAACTGAAATATCCAATAGGTCCAAAATAGAAAATATTGATGCACCGACCAGCATGGAAAAGTAAAGTAAAAAATTGTTTCAGTTTAAATTGGGAACATGTTTCGGGAGCTGATTAATGGTAGAATGATTTATCGAATTATAGAAATGTTGTTATTTTACGCAGGGAAAGTGAATAAAAGATGCTCAAAAAATAGTCAAACTATGTTATCAATTTATGGAAATAATGATTCAAGCTGCATTTACATATTGAAAGTACTGTATTTTGTTGTCTTTTGTGAAACTAATACTACTTATTAGTTTTTTTTCTTTTTTTCACAAATTCAGCGATTTTGAATGTTGCCATATTAGATTGTTTAAATATTTCAATGTCTATGCATACATCTTCACTTCAGCCAATAGTTGACCCGATAACTAATTTTACTCGACACTAGCTGCTTTTTATCTAACACTTCCACATTTTCGGTAATCATCTAGCGTAATTAGTTTGCAATAAATTTAAGCGTTAAATGTACTACAATGACTTAGTCTGTGGTCATTCATAATTACCTTATAATGTTTACTTATCGAACCTTTAAAGGTTGCGAAGAAATAAAGAAAAATGACGTAGGCTAAAACAATTTAATTTATTTTTTACCTTTATGTAAAATTATATAATGCTTATTTACTACATATATTATAGTTTATCAACATACGAACATACGTATTTTGTAGTGCAGTTATACAAAAATATATTATTATTATTATTAAACATACTTGTTAAAGTAATTTCATTACGAATTGGATTCTGTTCTATTTACTACTCGTCTTCTTCATCCGCCTCTGTTAACTGCTCAGCAGCATTAAATACAGCTTTCCTACTTCGTTTGACATCATTTGCACCAGCTAAATAGTCAGCCGCGGCGCGCTTGCGTATTTCTTCCACATCGTCGTCAGTGGTTGATGCCCACTCCAGTACCAAACGCCTGCCATACAAATGTGTACTCTGACTGAGAGCTTCGAATGCTTTTTTCGCATCGCTCTTTGTAATAAAATCTACAAAACCAAAGCCACGATGCGTGTCGGCGCCAGGCGTCATTTTTCTTGGCAAACGCACCGATCGAAGATCGCCAAATGCTCTATAAATAATAACATATATTTTTAAATTGTGGTCCAATAGCAAATTTATGCTTTACTTACTTGAAAATTTCACGAACTTCCTTTTCTTTAGCTTGGAAAGGAATATTTCGTACCAACATCTTTGTACCGGTTTGCTGTGTCTTCGCAACCTGTTTGCGAGGAGCCTGTGTCGAAGTTCTATGAAGAAAAACATAAATTATCATTATTGTATAAAATAATTGGTATGAATTAATCAGAAGCCACATACTTCAGTGTTCGATCGCTACGCTTTAATTCCACTTGATTGCCATCGATTTGTGTGAATTGCATTTCCTTTAGAGCTCTCTCGGTAGTTTCAGATAACTTAAATTGTATGAAACCATAACCCATGGAGACTTGATTTCTTGGATTTTTTGGATCTTTACGCTTTGCTATTTCTATGGTGTGTATCGCGCCTAAATGTTTAAAATGGTTTTGTATTGCCTCCGGGATGGTCTTGAAATTTAAATTACGAAGGAAGAGTGTTGTATTTGCTTCTGGAGCTTCATTTGCCAAATCATCTTCACTATTTGTTTCTGCTTGTTTTGTTGATTCATTTTGCTGGTTCGTATACCCATTTTCCTCTGTTTTAATATCATTTTTACCCGATTTGTATGTATTTGTTTCGTGAGAAAGGCTTTGCTCTTCTTGTTTTGGTATTATAGGTTCTCCACTGAGTGTGGTGGTAAATGTTTGCTCGGGCGCCCACTCCAAATATAGTGGCGCATTCTTAAATTTACTGTATGCTAATTTTTTAAAAGCCTGCTTTGCCTCAGATGGTTCGCAGAACTCGATGAGCGCAGTGACACCACTCGGCGGCAATATAAGTCGTCCTATTGGGCCGAATTTAGCGAAAATTGGCGTTAATTCAGCTACCGTGGTATCAGCGGGTAAATTTTTCGCCAATATAATCGTTTTAGAACGTTTTACCGTAGGGGAATCGAATGCACTCAGGCGCACACCATTCTCTTCAAGAAAGTTTTTCATTTCAATAACAATTTGCGTCTCTCCTAGGGCAATACGAACTGCAGCACTTGAACCACCTTCACTTGTGTCTAGCACCTAAATGAAAAGTTAAAAAAATAAAAAATACAGATTACAGATACCAAAATTAGAAATAAACAAACCTAAAAAAGAATTCTACTACCTTTTCCTTAGTTGTATCAAAACGCTTCGCCAAAATTTCTGCCACTGCATTGGCCCCTAAAAATAATGTGTTCCAATTTACAGACTGTTGCGCAGATTTTTTCAATTTTAAAGCTTTCTTTTGCTTAAATGATAAGCCCGAATCATCTTCTTCGTCTATCTGATCTTCATCTCTATTTTTTCCTGGTATTAAATGAAGTAAACGGCCATGGAAGTCGGTGCCATCCAGCTTGTTGAATGCTTGGACAGCATGTTCTGGCAATACAAATGTCACTGTGCCAAAACCTTTGATTTGTCGCGTTACGGTATCTACAGGTACATTTATTTCAGCGATGGGTCCAAATTTTTCAAACAAATGTTGAAGATTATCTTCCGTAACTGTGTAAGCCAAGTTACGAAAGAATATACGTCCAGATTCAGCAATTCCTTCTTCATTTTGTATACTCTGTTCTTGTTGTGCCCATTTAGGATTAGTTGGTTCTAACTTATGAAGATCTGTTGTTTTTTCGCCTCGCTCTCCTTTCGATTTGGTGATTTTATTTTTCTCAGTGAAGTCTGAGAAGAATACTTGCTTTCCTTTGATGAAGCTCTTATTCTTAAGCATAGCTTTTGTCATATCTTTTTCTGTTTTGAAACCGACATAACAGAAACCATGTACATTTGTTGGTAAACGTACAGAATACGGTTTCAGTGGTTTAAAAAATTTTAAAATCTCTTGTCGTTTCGTTTTGTAGGGAACATTATGAATTTTAATTGTAAACAAGTCAAGCGTTGCTTTTGTTTTACCCTTCTTATTTTCCGCTGTTGTAGATTTGGATATGAGATTTTTCATGTAATCTAAATCACTGATGGGTTTTTCTGCTAATTTCTCTTCATCGTCATCTTCGCTGCACTTATCATTTTCGTCATCGGCGTTTTCATCTGCTATTTGTTCCGTATCTTTTTGATTTTCATCTGTGTTGTCTATGTCCTCATTTGGCAGTAACGTTTCGCCAGCATCATTTGCCCATAATGTACGCTTTTTATCATGTGCTTTCATGAACTCTTGAAAATCGGGATCATCTTTATGTTTACCTAAAATTTCATCAACATTTGTTACTTTCTTTTTATTATTATTTTTCTCGTCCTTATTCATCTCTTTTTGTGTAGCTTCGACCACAGCTTTTCTGGCCGCTTTGCTGCGAGCCTGTGGTTTATCATCACTTCCAAGGGCGGCGCATACTTCAACCTTGATACGGCTGGTCTGAATACATGTGTTATCAAAGAATTTAATAGCTTCCTGCGCTTCTTCCTCACTACGATATCCAATAAAACAGAACTGGCGGAACTTTCCATCAGGTGTATATTTGAGCTGCATGTCAGTGATGGTGCCTTTCGTCCCAAAGAGATTTCGCAACTTCTCTTCGGTGATCTAAAATGTTGGTCATTACATATCGTATAAAAATAATTTTTTTTTTCACTTACGTTCTTTGGCAACTGCTTGACTATTATACGTGACATTTTTGTATAAAATTCGTGTGGTAAACAATAATTTTTAATTATTTATTGAATGAAATGTAAGAAAAACGCATTGTTTACGTTATACGCTGCACGTGAAATTGAATGTCAAAAATATGTGCTGCCATCTTTTCATTATACCCATCATGACATAATTTCTTTGTAATCCACACAACAAATGATATTATCGTATCTCTATAGGAGAATCGATTGCCTAAGACCATTTAACAGATAATTGCGATCAATTTGATGGCGAGTTTTTGAATGATGGCAGTTCTTAACATATAGAAAAATTTGCTGGAGAAGAGGAAAAGGCAAATCGTATCAGCTTCCACTAATTTATTTGCTTCATCTTAGAATTTTAATATTGACAAATTTTTTGTTTTCAAAGTATAAATTTGACAGCTGATGGCAGGATAGATTTCAACCAACGAACTGTTGGTTCAAATCTTACTGTCTTTCCACACCGAGAGAGCGTAATTTCGACATTTCGTTACTGGCTAGTTTGTTTGAGAATGACAATTGCAAGCAATCAAATATTGTGTTTTGTGGCACTGTGATACATTTTATTATTTTAGCTCTGTTTGACTCTGGGCGAAGCGTCAGTAAGAGCTAGCAAGTACGAGTGGTCGAAATTGCGTTTTCTCGGTGCAAATTTTACTATGTTTTTACCTCAATCAACCCGGTTCACTCAAAATAGGTGTGACCTGTTACTGCGAATCAGGTCACAGAACGTGCTTCTGGTTCTTTTGTTTCGGATAATATAAAAGTAAATGAACAATTTTGCAAAAATTTACGGAAAACTTCAAAATTTCAAGTGCGGAAAGAGCATGTCGAAACATCAAATTATACAGACACATTGTTTTTCAAAAAATTTAACCCTGTAAAGCTATTATAACGTTTCTGCTTCTCAGAAATTTAATTAGCAACCCCTGTCACAGCTGATCCAATTATTTTGATTTGACAGAAAAAAGCTCGCGAAAGAAAATATAGTACGAAGTACGAAATTTTTTTCGAAACAAAATTGTGTGTTTATTTGAAGATATAAATAAAATATCTCAGGCTTATTTGGGCCCATCATACTTTAAGGATTTGAAAATTATTCCATATTTCGAAAATCTATGTATAGGCTTGTAGAAAAGTAACAAGAAATAAGTGGTTCTAAAGCACGTCGTAACAGCGGAAGAAGTTAAATAATAAACTGCAAATTAATGCTTTAGGAAAACAACAAACTATACGCAATAACAAGCTGAAAATTTGGTTTAATGTCACTTTCGCTTTTGCGATGCCTTAACAGGGGAGGCGGAGGGTACTTAAATGTCACTAATAATGCAACTAAGCTATCACTGCCAGCGTCATCATCGGTGCCCATCGTAGGTGTCACCAACATAGTGCATTATTCGCGGCGTAGTGACCCGAAAAACCTTGATAGTGTTTTCAAGGTAGTAAAGTCAAAGGCGCGCGTTGAAGGTTTTTAAAAATATAAATTGGAATTTTGTTGAAAATTACATATAATATTCCTTTATATTGTTTAGAAGCCACTGATTTTCTTGGAGGTGAATGTGGGCCAAATTGGGAACTGTTAGCACCTCGAGGAAATCGATTCTATTTCCCAAATGCAGTTGGTCCAGCATGGCAGGGAGCATCAACAACTATAACCTTGGAAGCACCACTGGAGTCAATTGTAGATTTCGATGGAAAGGTAATGGTAAATGAGTTAGTTATATCGAAAGGATAATAATAACTCTAATATTACTTTTGTCGTTAAGAACACAAAACAAAATGCCATGTTGGAATTTACAGTCGGTGAATGCCCTTCACTTATAAGAAAATCATTGCACGAGCTTTTTCCTGCCCCGGAAGTAGTTTCTAGTGAGAAATTAGCGTTGATGACTTTGAGATTTTCGGGTGATAACGAACAAGGAGCAAGAAAGGTAATCCTATATGTCAAATATGAAATCCCACTATGTTACTGGTATTTCCGTTAGTTTGTTTTGGCGGCACGGGAAATTACGTCACGACTTCGCTTGCATGGTTATTGGGCTGATTTTATGAATCCTTTCAGCGGCAAACCATTTTACTCCTGGGCAAACGGAAAAAATCTGTATAAAGTAGACGATCGATTTAGAGGAATTAATATGAAGTTGATCAAAAAGAATCACTGCACAGTAATAAGTACAGAAGATGGAGATGTTACATTTTCTGGTGTTATTTACACTAATGCTCCATGTGATTATTTGCAAATCAAATCACTAATAGACGAGCAAGTCTAACAGGACTGCATTGCCGTAATATATTGTAAATTCAAAATTGTTATTCGTTTCATTAAATGGACAAAAATTATACATTTTTTTCGTTTCGTTATGGTGTCACCTACATAAATACACGTCATATATATTTAAATTAATACAAGAACATTTACATATGGTTCTCCGATTTATATATTCACACTTTAATTTGCCACTTTCTCACAGTGTCGTTCTATCTCTTTTAACTTATTAATTAGCAACTGTAATTCCTCGGTGCTACATACGAATTCGACAATAGTTTCTCGCGCTCCATTACTTTCATTATAACGCCCCAGATTCACATGAAAATTCAACTCGCCTGAACTGCAATCTGAAGTAGATGATCGAACATCTGCCATTATTCGCCATTGTACATCAGTTATGTGTGGGAAATCACTACCAAGTTGCAGTTGACGTATGGTTAACTCCTCTCGATGATTCTCATATGTGGTTACCAGTTCTTCTAAGATAATTGGTTGTACTTCGTTTTTCTCCAAATATGTACGTAAAGCAGTTGCCTCATAACAATGTTTTGTTGCCACAACTAATAGAGATACCACAGCATATTCACTAAGCTTTGCTTTGTCAGCATTCGCAGCATAGATATCTGGTACTGATGGGACACCTTAACAAGATACGCATATTTTGAATTTTGTGAACAAAAAACCAAAGTAGCTGAGTGGTACTTACTGGATTCAGGAGAGAGTGTATGCTTGAGTGAGTTTGTTATTAGTTTCTTCGATATATCCATACTAATTTCTGTGCCCAGTTGTTGAAGACCTTTTAACACAGAATCTGATAGCTTCAGAGACATTTTTTTAGATCGCTTGATTGTTTACCAATAAATTACCTATTTGTGAGGTAAACAGATGTTTTTATTTGTTTTTCTTAGAGATGGTACTCCAGCTTTAATTATATTATTATCGACACCGATAGATGTGATAAGAATTTCACTTAAAAGTTGTCAGCTGCGACATAAGCGAAATTTTATTTAAAGCACAAAAAATACCATCAAAGCCGCAAAGCAGGAAATGGTATTTTGAAACTCCTATTTATTTATTTGCAGGCATTGGACAAAAGTTAGCCGCATTGTTTATTTGTTTTTATTTAGTGCCTTATACCTAATAGAATAATATTAGATACATATTTCAAAAATGTTTTTTGGTAGTGTTAAGAAATTGGTGAGCATCTCATCGAAATGTGTTTTGTTAAATCCTCTTCGAGGTTTTAAGAGGCTTATCGACATACATCCCTATGTGCAACGATCACTTCAACAAGGAGATGCAGTGGTGGCACTGGAATCGACGATCATTACGCATGGCATGCCATATCCACAAAACATTGAGACAGCACAGGCTGTGGGACAGCTGGTTTCTGAGAATGGCGCATTAGCTGCGACAATTGCGATCATCAACGGACGTATAAAGGTGGGTCTCACAACCGACGAAATGAAGCAATTAGCTGCAAAAAATCATAATGAGGTTATTAAATGTTCAAGACGTGATCTACCATATTTAGTTTCGACGCAAGGCTGTGGTGGCACCACTGTAGCAGCTACTATGATTATAGCTCATATGGCTGGTATAGATATATTTGCAACCGGCGGTGTTGGAGGTGTGCACCGTGATGGTCACATAACGATGGATGTTTCGGCAGATCTTGTAGAGTTAGGACGAACGCCAATCACAGTGGTGTCAAGTGGAATCAAATCCATTTTAGATATACCACGTACACTGGAGTATTTAGAAACCCAAGGTGTTTGTGTGGCTACATATGGAGTTCCAGATTTTAACTTTCCCGATTTTTACACACGGAATAGTGGTTGTAAGGTTCCGTATAATTTAAACGGACCTAAGGAAGCTGCCAACTTAATAAAAGCTTTAAAGGAATTACAGTACAGGTCAGGTATATTAATTGGTGTTCCTGTACCGGAAAAATTTGCTGCAAATAAAAATGAAATTGAAGCGGCAATTCAAGAGGCTATTTATGAAGCGAGGAACCAAGGAATTAGTGGGAAACAGGTAACTCCATATTTATTGGCGGCAATCGCCAAATTAACGAAAGGGAGTAGTCTTGAAGCAAACATGGCCTTAATTAAAAATAATGCAAAGACGGCTGCTCAGATATCACGAGAGCTGTCCAAAACTAAGAAGAGTTATGTGTTCAGCGGAGAAAAAAAATCATCAAAAACACCTCTCGTAATTGGTGCCTCAATTTTAGATCTTTCACTAACAATGCTTGATGATCTACCGAAAGTTTTGGATGGTGCCACATATCGTGCCAAACCAACGGAATCGGCGGGTGGTGTAGGCCGTAATATTGCAGAGGGCATCTCGAAGTTGTATGGATCAGCGAACTTTATTTCAGTTGTTGGAAATGATCAACTGGGCCGTAGTCTACTAAAAATGATACCGGGACAACTGAGAAGTTTAGTTAAGATAGATGGTGAAAGTTCTACGTCTCTTTGCACAATAATCTTTGATAAAAGTGGAGATTGTAAAATCTATTTAGCAAATATGGAAATACATGACAATATCACTCCAGAAACGATCCAACAAAGTGAAGAGCTCTTACGTTCTGCGCCGATAGTTTTGATGGACGGTAATTTGTCGCTGGAGACAATGGAGCGTACTCTTAGGCTTGCTTATAAATACCAGAGGCCAGTATTCTTTGAACCTACCGATATGAGAATAGCACAAAAGCCGTTTAATCTGGCCAAGACACTAACAAAACAGATTAAAATCATATCTCCAAATATTTACGAACTGCGTACAATAGTAGAAGCTATTACCGGAGAAACTCTGCCTACTAGAGAAAACAATTTCCAATCAACTAATATTTTGTTGGAAGAAGCAAGAAATTTATTGAAACAAGTACAGGATTATTTCGATTGCATCGTACTGACACTTGGACAACAAGGTGTGATGCTAAGCTTAAAGGGCGAAATAGCAGTATCAGGAAAGCCATTATTCGATGCAAGTACTGGATCCTATTTACCAATAAGAGAAATCTCAAAAAACGTTTATGCAATGCGCTTTTACAGTGCTCCAAGGGTCGAGGGAATCAAAAATGTCTCAGGCGCGGGCGACAGTTTTACAAGTGGCTTTGTAACGGCACTACTACGGGGCTATGATATTAAAAATTGCGTAGCGTTGGGATTCTTGGCCGCTGAACGCGCTTTACAATCCCGTTCAGCAGTACCATCCCAATATTTCACTGACAAAAACGAGGAATCAACTAATCTGCAAAAAATATTGAAAAATCTTAAAGAAGTCACACTCTAAAAACTAACATTTTATTTCGAACTTGTCGAATAAATTTCTCTATAAGTATTTATCATTTTAAAAAATACTTAAGTTAGTAGAACATCCGAAACATCGCTGATAGGATAAACGCTGTAGGATAATCGTTATAGTGATTATTTTTTCTGCTATACTTCCAATCTTAATTTTTTTTTAAATTAAGAAACACTTTTTCTTAAGCCTTTATTTTCTTAGAAAACTAGTATGTGATTTACTTAATACCGATTGCATTTAAAGTAAGAACGTAAGTGCCATAAAATAATCTGGTGTACAGGAGATTGTAAATCTACATTAAATAGAGTATTTAAAAACTGCATTTGTTAGCGATTTCAAAATATAAAATGAATATTTTTTATTCCAATAAGATGGCTAATAACAATATATACCTCATTTGAGAATAGGCATATCTATTTTTTAATAGGCCCACCTGTAATAAAGAAAATAAATGGATTTTGAGTATTGATGAACTAAAAAAGAAATCTATATATTACATTTAAGGAGCGTTTATTTTCATATACTTACAATTTCACCACCTTGTCCTTGCCACCGGACGCAACCCGCGTTCCATCTGGAGCCCAGTCCACTGCAAAGACCTCATCTGCATGACCGGGTAATTCTTGGGCTAACTTTTTCGTCTGAACGCTCCATACTTTCAGAGTTGAATCTTTACTTCCACTTACTAACAAGCGTGAATCTGCCGACCAAGCTAGCGTATATGCCGCTTGAACATGTCCTCTGAATGTAGTTATAAATTTTCCATCTTGAGCCCGCCATAAACGAATAGATTTGTCGAAAGAGGCAGATGCAATCAGCTTAACATCGGGTGAATACTTAACATCATTGACAACATTTTGATGTCCTGTCATACGTTCTATACATTTATTTTGATTGGAACACCACAGGTAAAGAGTAAAATCATCCGAGCATGAAACCAAGGACTCCACTCCATCAGGGCAAACCTTCTTGTATCTTTGCAAAGCCATTTCCTTCAGTTCATTTTCTAAAAAAAATCGTATTAACAAAAATAAAAAAAACTCGCTTAATTGGTTCTTGAAATTTGCACTTCACTTACTGTCAATATCCACATATTTCTTTCTACGATCAGTAACCGGATGAAAAGGACCCGTTCGTAAAACATAATCAGTATTAAGAGCTATGTTGTTAACCCAGTGGGCATGTCCAGAAAATGTTCGACAGAGCACGCCATCATCGGCACGCCACATTTTTACTGTGCGATCTTTGGAAGATGTATAGATAAGCCCGGAACCTCCCCATCGCACGGCAGTTACTGCACTTGAGTGACCAGCTATATTTAATACACACTGACCAAGTACGGTATCCCAAATACGACAATCACCATCAGTACCTGCACTGGCTAAACGACGACAGTCGGGGTTCTGATGGTATGGCTCCCAACTTAAACAATTTATCCATTTTTTATGACCAGTCAGGGTACGTCCCATTTGTTTACCATCCGTAGGATCCCATAGTATAATATTACCCGCTTTACAAGCACTAGCTAATTTTTTGCCATCAGGCGACCAAGCAACACACATCACCCATTGCTTGTGCACCGCGCATGTGTGCTGTGGCGTTTCTGTTGACAGATCCCATAAGCGAACGGTGGTATCACCTGAACCACTTGCTAAATGTTCACCATCAGGACTAAAACTTATTGATATGACAGCTTCTGCGTGGCCTGGCATGGAACTTGTACATCGAGTGACTGGGCGTACTTTAAACACAGCCTGAGGTTGATAAATAATTTTGATAACATTTTCTGTGTCTATAGAATTTAAGTCCAATGTACTGTGAAGTGTTTTCTTAATCTCATCATCGCCCACAAAAAACAGATACGGTGTTGGTTCTTCATTTTTTAGCAACGCATTACATATTAGGCCTAATTGTTCAACTGTTACTGATATTGGCAAATCGATTGGAGGTCCCGCTTCTTCTCCAGCATCTGATACAAGTCTAGCCTGTACGGTGCGCCCATCGTCAATTGGATCATCATTTTCCAATTTTTGTCGTTTGGACATTTTTAATAAAACACAGTGCACAACAAACCCGGTTAATGAATGAAGCGATTGTCAACAATAAATATACACGTGCTGTAATATATTAGCGAAGTTGCCACAGGATTTTATTTAAACAAACTTAATCGAATATCATTTCATCATGGTTCGTTTTTACGGTGGAGATTGTCGATACAGAATAATCCAATGGCTTATGCTAAATACGCCCCTATGATTTCCCAAATTCTTCGAGTTTGTGCACTGTATTGTTAAATAAAAGTCCCAAGAATTGTTGTTTTTATCATTTATTGTAAGCACATAGTTTACTAAGGCTGTGTGCCAATCAGTATCTGTTTTCATATGGTGAAATGAGGTGGCAAAAATTTTACAATTTGCTGTGCTAACAAAATAAAAGCTCGTTAGGATGTCTTATATATTTTTTGTCATGTGGCTGCATTCATTTGTTGCTCTTCTTAGTGTGAATTTAAACAATCAAAATTTTAATAAAATTCTGACGTTTGTACTCACCTTGAAAAATTTCACAATTTCAATGTCAGCTGTCAAAATTTTTAGTTTTCACCCGATTAATCTGGTCCACCCAAACCGTTAAAACGCATCACTGCATATAAAATTACTGAGCATCTGAACTTATTGCTGACTTCCACTGAACGTACTCTACCTTTGAATTGAAAGCTGGGCACTGTAGAAAACTATTTTGTTTTATTTTTCCATTTAAAAAAGTAAATAATGGATAAAAGCGAATATGAAATCCAACATTTCAATTTTTCTGTGGAGCAGTTCTCTCTCGAGAGTAAGTTGTATGGAAATGTTAATTTTTATGTGATACTAATATTTGATTTTAAGGGCGCCATTATTTGACTAAAATATTGTCGCTATCGTTGCAGTCGGTGGTGGAGAAGTTGTCCATGGGCAACGATGAAACGAAAGAGTTTTTAATACAAGAAAAAGAAATAGTGCAACGCAAAATGCTGGAAGATATGGAAAAGTATTTGTGTGCTATTGAAGAAATAGACAGAAGTAATTTCACGATACCGGAATATGTTTTATTGGCAACAGATTATGGCCATACTAAACAGTACACCGAAGAAGACGAAAGTGAAGTGGACAAAAAGATAGCATCCATGAAGCGAGAGTTTTTAGAGGTATTTTAAATTGATTCCTTAATTTGTTTGAAAATATATCTGTAATTTTTCTCGGATAGAATTCTGTAATGATAGAATCCATAAAAGTGGAAAACTCAAAGTATGAAGAAATACGACAGCATGTAGATGATGAGGAAAAAATAATAGTACAAGTTCAAAAAGTTTTGGACAGAATGGATACCCAATGGGAGAAAGCCAAACAATTAGTGGAAGAAACTCAAAGTATGCTGCATTAGGCGAGGTATGCATAGTAGTAAGATGTGGTGTTTAAACTGCTAAAATTTATTCAAAAATTTGTTTGTTCCATATTTTTATATATATTATTTGATTCATAAAAGATAAATTATTAAAAAAAAATTAACTATAAAATAAACCAATGAAAAAGAAACCTTCACATTGCATCCATATTTACACATTTATTTATTTCATAGAGACATTAATCATAGTCTATTCGCAAGAATAGATCGACGGATTCGAGATCGCAGCATATCGTGAATCAATCGAGAATTACTAGTTTGAGTTATTGGATGAATATCGGATATTCTAATTCTTGATGATGCGAAAAAGTTTAAAAGTACATTCATATATTCAAAATAAAAATGCTACATTGATTTAGAACTCGTTAACCCGTCCAAGCAACATTCACACAAATTTTTTCGTTAGTTGATTCCCTTTTTTGCTTTCTCAATTTTTCAAATTGCATTTTTTTATTATTAATATGTACTTTAAATAGGAGGTTAAAATTGTTATTTTTATGTCTAATTGTATATTATTAAAATCAATCTGGATTCCCATACATGCACATACATAAATATAATCATAATAATAATAATTGGCGCTTTGTAACCACTAAATCGATTTTCGGCCGAGCTTCTCCTACAATTTGTGCTTTGCGTCTTGATGTTTTTCCAACAAATGGAGGGACCTACAGTTTGTACTAAGCCGCCTCCGAACGGCTGGTATACTTTGGAAAAAATAAACTCATATGGTCGGCTGTTAAATATAACAGAAAGCTACAAAGCTCATGTAAAAGACATATACTGCAACTACATTGCAATATTTTCACATTTTTTACACTTTCCTACCCACTCTATGCCACTTCTTCTTGTACATTCGCCGGTTGCTCTTCTATTTCGAAATGCATATCTATAATATGCAACATGCTGTGTGATTGCTTTCTGCAAGAATCGTGGATGCGCTCCGTGTTCTTCGTTGAGTTTATTTTTATTTTTAAGCGGCGACGACCGAAACGATGTATGCATGTTTGCTACATATGTGATGTGAGAAATTTTGGTTTTGTATCTTTTTATTTTCACTATTTGCAAAGAAATTTGCGATATTAATATACCTGCTACTCTGGTACCGATACTGTTGGATTGGTGTGGCTGTATTGCTCGGCAACTTTGTTGAACTGTGTGTGAGGAATGCAAAATTCGCAATGTCCGACCATTTGCATGCTTGGGCCTTGAGTTTTGCTGAATAGTCGTCGATTTCGCAGTCGTCGTTGCAGCCACGAATTTTACAGAAGCATAAGAATATTTTCGGTGCAAGGGTAAAATTAAAGAACATTTTCACTTTTTATGTAATTCCTAAAGAAATTTACCTTATTTCAGCTGGGTATTAAGAATACTAAAGGTTATAAAACGTTGAGATAAGTATAATTTACATCGACATATTATGAATGCGGAGAAATTAAAACGACTGCAGTCCCAAGTCCGCATAGGGGGTAAGGGCACTGCACGTCGTAAAAAGAAGGTTATGCACCAAACAGCCACCACGGATGATAAAAAGTTGCAGAGTTCGCTAAAGAAGTTATCAGTTAGTACCATACCGGGAATTGAAGAAGTGAATATAATCAAAGACGATCTAACTGTCATACATTTTAATAATCCAAAAGCGCAAGCATCTCTCTCGGCAAATACTTTTGCAGTCACCGGACATGGAGAGACAAAGAAAATTGTGGAAATGTTGCCTGAGATATTGCCACAGTTGGGCCAAGAGACGGTAGTTCAGCTGCGCATGTTCGCTAATTCAATGACAGGTACAAAGAAGGCGGGCAGCGCTGCTGGCGACGCTGGTGATGCGGCTGCGAGTGCAAATATGCTTTATAGTGTTGTAGAAGAAGACGATGTGCCGATGTTGGTGAGCGATTTCGACGAGGTGGCCAAAATGGAGGCTGAGAAAGTGGGAGCACCAGCAAAAACAACAATTAATAACGAACAACCGGCAAGTGAATTTGAACCAAACAAAGAGGCAACGGTTGCAGTGTTGCCAATAATAACATCGAAAGAGATAAGTAACGCGGAAACGAATGAAGAAAAGAAAATCAATGAAATACAACCGTTAGATAATTCAAATTTGAATATTAGGTTAACAGAGGATTCTAAACAGCAAGTCATCAATGAAAAGGACACTAAATACCAGGAAAAGAATGTTACGAAGGAAAATCTAAATAAAACTGTAAAGTCGAACGATAAGTCTACAAAAGACATTGGTAAAGCTAGTGAAGTGCAAAAGAAGCAAGAAAAAAATTCACAAAAACAGGAGGCATCAAAACAAAAGACAAAATTTGAAGGCAAAAATCAGAAAGATTCCAAAGAAAATATAAAGCCTGATGATACCGCTATAGAAAAACCTAAAAAAGAAGAAAAGAAAGCCGATGAATCTAAAAAAGCTGAGGGTGAATCAACAAAGCCTTCAGAGATAACGGAAAGCTCTGAAATTGTAAAAGAAAATATAGACAACCAAAAGCAAACTGAAAACCAGCAGAAGCAGCCGCAATCGCAAAAGCAAATGAAATCAGAATCTAGTCAAGATAAGCAACAGAAGAAGGAAAAGCAGCTGGGGGAAGTTACAGACAAGCAACAAAAGAAACAAAATCAGCCGGATCAACAGAAGAAAGGTAAGCAGGACCAAAAGCAGAATCCAACGGATCCTAAAGAAAACAAAGGCAAACAGCAAAAGGTCGAAAAAACTGAAGACAACTCTCAACAGACGAAAACAATTGCTGATCCTGAAGAGCAAGATAAGCAACAGGAAAAGATACCAATTAAAGGAGATCAGCAGCAAGAAAAACAGAAAGAACAAAAACAGGCACAAACACTTAAATCAACTCAGCAACAGCAACAACCAAAAGGCGAGCCACTAAATAAACAAAAGAATAAGCAAGGGCCGCAAAAATCACAGAATCAGAATAATCAGAAAAAACCAGAGCTCGTGCCGCAGCTAAAAAGAGCGGAGCCACTCCAACAAGCTGCTAAACAAGAAGAAAAACAACTAGATCTTCAAGTGAAGGCACCTGAAGAAAAGTCCGCTACAAAAATTATCGAAAACAAAAAAACTGGAACTGAAAACCAAACAGATGATTCCAAAGAAAGCTTCAAACAAAAAACATCAAAAGAGATGCTCAGTGCACAACCAGAAACTTTAGCGGCAGCAGATATGCAAAAGCAGAAAATGAAGACACCACCCAAAGAAGATAAGTCAGAACCAATAATAGCGGAAAGTGATGTGCCCAAATTCGAAGATCAGCCCGTTGAAGGCAAAGATATAAAAAATTACATACCTTCTACAGATATTGGATCACCTTCTAAGTCCGTCATGCCTGTAGCTGATGTCTCAATTAAAACCGTTGCCTTACGATCATTAGAATCTACCGAAAAGATGTTGCAGATGGTAAATGAAATGACTAAAACTCTTCCACTAGATGATATAAAAATAAAGAAAAATGAAGCTGAGAAAGAAGGAACCACAGCTGAACTCCCAGTTGAAAAACTAAAAGAAATTGTAACGATACCAGCAAATTTAAATATAGTTGACGCGAATACAGATGCCCCTGTCGTCGAACCTAAGTTAAATACAAATCTGAAAACAGAAGATCAAAATCAAACTTCTAAAATTATTGAAATTGATAAAGATAACAAAATTGCAGATTCACCAAACCAAGGTCAGACCACGTTAAATATTGCCATCGGTGAAGATAAAGACGCAAGTGAACCAAAAGAAATTATCTCCGGAATTGTATCGAACGCGAACGCAATTCAGCAAGAACCCAGTGAAAATATAGAGAAAACAAATGTTGCGGAACAAAAACCTGTGGTGAATCCATTAAATCAAACCACACAGTCTTCAGTTGCACCCATTAACGTGCAATCAGGCGAAAAATTGCATAAACAGCCCACATTGGCTGAAATAGTGCAGACTCAGCCACCACAAGTGATTTCTGCCACTGTGCCAAATCCTGCCATATATACACAAACTACTGACAACACGCCAAAGAAAGATATATCCGTCGCAACGGAACTACCTACTAAGCAGCCATCTATGGCTGAAGTACCTCAGTCACAGTCTCCACAAACGTCATCAATAGTGGCTACTACGCTTCCCAATATACCGGTAGTTGGTGAAATAAAAGATAAACCGATAATAGAAATATTAGTTAAAGAAGATCTAACGGATAATCAATTGCCTCCAACTACTCTTACAGCCGCAGAAACTTCCAAAGCAATAGACGATTCGAAAACGGTAGAGGTGGAAACGGATGCACAGCAATTACCAACGCTAACGGAGGATAAAACAGGTGTGCCGTCTAACGAAAAAACCTTGCCAGCAAGTCCCAAACAAAAGGTATCACCACCAAAACAGACTGCAAATACCAAAGCCACTCAAGAAACCTCGAAACAACAAACGAAGCCATTATCAGCCGGTGAAGCGGTTAAGCAGCCAAGTGACACTAAGCTGAAGTTGGTAACAAAGCCACAGCCAGGACAACAGCAGCAACAACAACAAAAGGCAAAAGCAAAGCCCACGAGCAATAATAAATCCGCACCAACGACCCCAACTACTCCTACTAAGATATCACCCGAAAAATCAACATCTTCACCAAAGTCGACAACTCCAAACCCCAAACCGGTCCCCGACTCGTCAACAAAAAAAGCAAACTCTCCGCAAAAACAACAGCAAATAGATGTAGCAGCAAAATCTAAGCCAGCACAGGGCGCTGGTGGAAAAGTCCGGCCTGGCAGTAGTAATGCCGCGTCGGCGCCAGTTGGTGTTAAAAAGGCAAACACACCACCAGCAGCAAACAAAATAAGCCCCAGCACCGGTGGAAAGCAGCAGGATGTCACGGTAAAAGCTACGTCTGCTATCGCATCAGTTGTAACGGATCAGTCAAATGCAAACGCGACACCACCAATTTCAACACCAACCACTGAAAACACCGTTAAGCAACCAGCCGCATCGAAATAACTGAAAATAATGAAAATTTTTGATTGAATTGCAATAATTTGCTTCGCTCTTGCTATTTCTCTGCTTTTCATGCAAACTTATACGCATTACTATTACTTAATTACTATTGCATTTGCATTTTGTTACTTTACATTTCATTATTAAATTCTCATTCAGGTCGCCGCACCAACAGTTCATTTTAAATATTTATTTCAGCATATTTTTACTAATTCACTTTCATTGATGCTGCTACATCATACACAAATATACATATATACATGTATAAATATGTTGGCGGCATCACAATTTTTATTAATTACTAACCATGTTTTAAAGTCAGCGTTTGAAAAAAAAAATTTGAAAACGTTTCAGTTGATATGCAAGGTTAAAAGCAATTTAAATTGCGATTATAAATGGTTTAGTGCAATCCAATTGGCTATTCTTTAATCATGTTCGCGATTATACTATGCTTTGTAAGCATTTATGATAAATAAAAGGAATACCACGAAATTTTTAATTGAGAAATAAAATGTATCACTGAAACTAAATATCGTGTTTGTTTTTGCACACAGTTCTAATAAACTAATGAAGGCTTATTCCTAAAGAAATATTAATTAATGATAGGAATTTCTGAACTTTTCTTGCATTTAGAAAAGGAATTATTTGGCTCAGTACATATAAAGTGTATGAGTGGAATTAGGTTAGCCATTCCGGAAGCGCTGTCTGAATTTTATATATACATTTGTATATCGCAACGGGCGATATATATTACATACATACATAGCTTCAACTGATTGCTCAGGTTTGGGTTTTGGATCTCTAATCTATAAATTTTGTTCTGAATGACGGACGGATCAACCAACCGGCTAATCGTAGAGATCTGAAACGTGGAGGCCGTAGACATCCGAAAAGAAGGAATTTTTCGGCAAACTCTATTCGAAAAAATTCAATTTATTTTTAAATCCTTCGATTTCCCGAAAATTTGGTTAAGCGGTAGCTTTTTTCGTAAAATGATATGGAAAGTACTTTTTTCTCCGGGAAGGGGAAATGAAAAACCAATAGAATTTTTATTAGAACCATATAAAAATTCCATACAAACTATAGGTCTATTATTAAGTACCTGATAATCGGCTTTATGCGGAATATCGTCTACGTCTTCGCGAAAACGCGTTATTATGCGAATTTCGCGGTGCTGCTTCTTTATCATCTTTCACAACAAATATAGCATCAGATGGATTTAACAGCTCTTCTAATTCCATCAAAATCGCAACATATTCTTCGAAAGGAGTCAATAGCATCTGCTTGTAAACTCCTCCGCCAGCTGCTCTTGACTGTTTCTTGTTGTTCATATTTTTTTTGACGATGGTGTTAAACGGGATATTAATGTTACCGTATAAGGTCGAAAATGGAATTGGCTATTTTATTTACCTACTATGCGTAAAATGCTAGTTAAGCAAACTTTTTTGTTTTTAAAGGGCAACGTTTTATTTTGTCCCTATTTCTTGCGCCCTGAAATCATATACGAAAAAGAGAAACTCTTCCAAAAAGTATGAAATAAGACAGACGAAAAATAAATAAATAAATTACTAATTTTATGTACATATGTATGTATAATACATATATAAGTATATGTTTTTTTCGTATAATAACAACCGGCAAAATGCTTATGATAAGCAAAGATATGGTAGGTTATAGCGACACATACAAACGTGCATACACAGGGCATAACCAGACACATACATTTGCGTCACATACATACCTATGTATGCGTCAAATCAAAACTGGAAGGTGCGACCGCTGTTTGAACTACTCATTGATACGCATCTGCACTTAGCGCTATTCAAATACATTTGTATAAGTACACTTGTATGTAAGTGTATGTATGTACGTACAATCGTTTATGTACAGATGTTTACCAACTAAACAGGCACGGAATGAAGGCAAAGCGAAACAGCCCAATAGACTGGGTGGGGGCCGACAGCGGTATCACGACGACAACCTACCAAGTAAAGTATATAACTGACAGCTGATAGTTTAGTTCATTTCGGTGATTCGTAGAGAAAAGTAGCAGTAGTGGAAGACGGCAAAATTTCGAACAAAAACAGAATAATAAAAAAAAGAAACATTAAAAAAATACACTCATAAAATTATAGAAACATGAGTGATGCATTGAAAATTGCCGGCGCCGTAGTGCTTCCGAATATCGGTGGTTTCGTTAATGGCATTATAACTCGCAAAAACATACAAACATGGTATAAGAATCTGAATTTTCCATCATACCGTCCTCCAAACTGGATATTTGGACCGGTATGGACATCACTCTACTCCGGCATGGGTTATGCTTCATATTTAGTTTGGCGTGATGGTGGCGGATTTGGTGGTAAGGCTCAATTACCGCTCATCGTATACGGCACGCAATTAGCACTCAACTGGGCCTGGACGCCAATTTTCTTTGGACAACGTAATATAAAAGGCGTAAGTTGCGTAACAATGAAGTGAAGTGAAAAGTAGTTAACCAAGAGAGTTAAAATGATAGCAATAGCAGATGTAAATCATTAACAACTATACAACTTTATATATACATATATGCTAGTAGCTACCAAAATTGTATAAATTGCTTACTTATATGTACATATTTATATTTTTACTTCGAATATTTGAAAATAATAAATTTCTTTATAACTTCTAGGGCCTCATTGACATTATCGCACTAACCGCTACATCTACAGTTTGCGGCATACTTTTCTATCGAGTTAATAAAGTGGCTGGCCTATTGTTCGCTCCATATATAGCTTGGCTGAGTTTCGCAACGGTGCTTAATCATGCAATGTACAAATTGAATCCTGACAGCAATGCTGTGGACGCTGCTCCTGCTGCTGATGATGATGAGGAGAAAAAGGGTCAGTAAAATAGCATTCGTTGCGCACTGGTTTACTGCACTTTAATTGCATATGCAAGTATTAAAATTGTTTTTAAACCAAATGAGTACATTCGTAGAGAGCAGCATATGATGTCATTTTTGGTGCTGATGCCTTTAACGCTACACTCATGGCCACTGCAGTTCGTTAACTACGTTGCAGTAAATTAAAATAGAAATATTAATATAAGTATAGATGTTTGTTAACCAATCGTTGTGACCTGCATTTGAAAATTTACCAAATTATATATAGAATTATGCAGAAGTTCACAATCTTTGATAAACAGAAACTTTCCAATACATTTTTATAAAAGAATGTACACACAAGTTGCCTAAAATATGTTAAACTGCTGCCGAACGATGTTTAGAGATTTATAAGGTGAATTAATTAAAAGTGTTAAAATAAAATTATTTGATAGCTCAAACTGCTTGTTTTTTTGAAAATGTGTTTTAATAATAAATGTTTAATACAATAATTTGACTTTTAATGTTGCTAAATACAAAGATGATATGTATATGTAAAGAGTAAAATCGGTCTAGGTTTGACTGGCGGTAGTCTGTTTAAGAAGATAGTGCACGTTTAATATTAACATGCGCTTCAAAAGTCATTTAACGCAAGTACATACATATATATATATATATATATATGTAGTATTAAAAATAATTCCATAAAATGCTCCATTTTTGCAATTAATAATAATTATGATAATTTTAAAAATAATAAAATGTTCGGTTTTTTAAATAAATAATATTTAATAGCGTAAGCACTAACAAGTTTTGTTTTTAACTAGTTGCACTTATATACATATAACTACAAGTTCATTAGTACTAAAAAATATCTGTGTTTAGGTGAGGCATTGAAAAATTTCCAAAAATTATTTAGACGTTTATATCTTTTAAGTTGTTCTTTAAGGGCTTAGCAATATAATGACAATCTAAAAGCTATAAAAGGGTGGGAATATTTCTGAAATTACGGTAATTTTACAGGCCTGCTTAAAATGTTGTTGTTATTTATTTACACTATATTATTATTATGACATCACCCTATCGTTTTATTGCTTTTTATCTATTTTGCTGAACCATACCTACATAAGTGAATATCTTTATTTTGGTATGTGAAGGCTATTAAGTGCATTATTTCCTTAAAAAATAACAGTGCCAAAAATAAATATTAAAAATATAATATTAAACGAAAAATTAAAAAATACCGTTTTTGCAAAATACATTAAAAAATTAAATAAAATTTACCTCGATTAATGTTTCATATATTTCTAGTAAAAAGTAAAAAAAAGGATTGTACTGAAAATGTTTCGCATGATTGATAAATAAATGGCATAATAGATATTATAACCTCAGTTTACGAGTACTAATCGATTTTGATTTTAATATTTATGTGTATGTAAAATACTCAAAAATCATATAAGTATTTACACATGTATGAAAAGAATATTTTTTTGTATGTACATATATATATGTACATCGTGTCTTTTTTGAAAATTGCTATTTTAATTGGTTCAGAATTAAAAAAAAAATCTATTCGTACATATTATATATATACATACATACGTGCGTATGTATATCGTAGGCATTACCAAACGGAAATTTTCAAACGAATAATATTAAAGTTCAATCAAAAAATTTCTAGCTAATCTCCAAAAATCAAAGCAAAATATATACATATATAGGGTTCATATGTATAATTATACTTTTGTATGTAAAGATTAATTTTTTATATCCTTAAACAAGACTGCAAAAAGATATCACCTTAATGTTTGCGCGTGCAATTATACTTGAAGCTTAAAATAGATAATATGCATAAATGATAAATGACGTGGCAGAATATTCTTATATACACATTTACATACATATGTATGTATGTATGTATGTATATACAAGCGTATGACATTTACAGTTTGTCTGCTATATAGTAAAATTAATTTTTATCTGTTTTTCCAGGAATACAAAATGTTTGTATATTATTACGCAATATATCGTATATATGCATATATGTACATTTGTACATACATATGTGTTTATACTCGTTTATTAAATAAATTTATTTTCTAGTGAAGTTCAGTTATACTGCAATCGATTCCAGACCATGTGAAATTGTAACCCATACAAAGCAAATGGCAAGAGATTCGGAAATATACATATATATATATTTTACTACTCCGAAGCTTCTACACTTTTACTCATTTAATTTAAATTGTATTGTATGCACATACGTTAGTGAAATATTTGTTTGTATGTCTGCATATGCAAATTTCTAATTCTCTTCAATTTTCAAGTCTGCTTATTTTTCAGTATTTCTAGAAAAGCATTCGAGTTCAAAGCATAAATATTCATACATGATAACAAGCATGTGCTTTTATAGCTATAAAATTAATGGAAAAGTACATTACGAATATTCGATAACAAAGAAAGAAATGCAGACTCTCTGGTTAAGTCAAAGAAAAAATGCGCTTTGATACCATCATTTGATTTATACTGATTATGAGTAGAAAAGCTAACAATAGTCACCTTAATATATGTATATAATTATAGACGTTCAAACAATGGTTGCAAGTCAAATTGCTGTAAAATTTCCCTGAAACTTTTTTTTATATCTTGAAAAAATCTAAATGTGAGTTGGTTGAAATAAAAAAAGTAAGGGGGGAAGACTAAGATTGGATGGAGCCGAACATTAGATACTCGGCTTATATTTATATTTAGTTCACAGATATGCTAACAATAAAAGATCTCTCGTAAGAGGTCTACATCAGCCATTTTCTATAGGACTCCTGAAGGGAACTCCCAGCACATTCGTCCTATCAAGCAGTGACCTGCTAAGACTCCTACAGCCATAGAGATGTCTTCTCTTTTGTGAGCTAAGTTTGCCCCTATGGCTCTGTGACCAGAATTCAAATTTTTTTTGATTGGTCATCTTCTGCAGTGACTAATAGCTACAATATTATAATTAGTCTTTGAGCTATCGTTAACGAAACAACAGAATCGGGAGTAAAAAGGAAAGATTGAAAAAAATGAATGTCGCGCAGTTGTAAAGTTTTTTAGGAATGGCTCATAATCCACTTCGTCATATATGAAACTTTCTGGGACGGGGACCTCTACCTAACCTACAGCCCATACCTGGACCCGTGAGATTATTACCTGCTTCTAAAAATGTAAAATTAGCTGAGAGGTAAACGAATTATCACCGATGATTAAGCCAGGAAGGCAGTCTCGTAAACGAAGATAAAGAGAAGAGAAAAAAAGTGGTGAGTGTATCCTCTTAAACAGTAGTGTAAAGGACCATATGGAATCTAAAATATATTTGTTTAAAATCATTTTAGTTTATAGCCCTGTTTAAAGTTACTATATAATAAAAACTACTTCGTATTTTGATACATGCTTATATTTCTCTTAGGACTATGCCACATCACAGTAAATCTCTTTTACTCTGTTGTGCTCGGTTGTAAACACTGTGAAGGGGAACAGTTACAAGCGCAGGCCTCTTCCTTAGAAGTTTTCAATAACAACACGACGCCATGGCAACCGAGTTAGTTTCGTCCTATGCAATGCGTTGCATTAGTTTCCAATTGGCTTTCGAAGGAAGAATATTTATTTGTAAAACTCGCGTGATGACACTTTATTTCGATACTAAAGTAGAGTTTCTTGACTCGGATGCAGTTAGCACCATCGGCAATTGGCATCTTAGTGAGCCATTATTCGCCGTAGCTTCCTACAGCCAGGAACGTGGTGGTTCCATAACAATTTTCACTGATTCGGTAAGCTGTAGATGTCGACGTGCGACTTTACACCCACACATTTTTTTCTAATAATTTTTCAAAAACAGGGTGAGCCGCAGCGTGATGTCACCTATCCAGTGCATCCTACCTCACAGGTGTCCGCTCTTGCTTGGCATCCAGAAAAAGTTTTACTGGCTACGGGTTGGGAAAATGGTGACATACATGTCTGGTTTGCCGGTCATCGTGAGTTCGCTAGTGTGCATGGTCCACATAAGGCACCGATTGTGTTGTTGGATTTCAGCGAGCAGGGCGGTCGCATGGTAACCGCTGACGCGATGGGTCTGCTCACCGGCTGGCGATGCGATGGCCAATATCAATTTTTAACAATGTTTTCACATGATCTTCGCGACGTGTTGCTGCACATCACATTTCGACGCACTATCGAGAGCGAAGTGCGTGAGGAAATGGTAAATCTGGCTAAAGCGGCAGTAGCCGGCGACGATGCGGCACTCGATACGCTCACCAACTGGCGACCGCGTACGGCGGCAAGAAGTATGACTCATGCTGGTGTCAAGGATAATCACTGTTTCTATGTAGGCACTCAAAATGGTTTAATGTACTATATCAATCAGGGTGGCACATGCACGGAGGTGCTAAAGAATAACACTGTGCCCATAATGCAAATGCTCTGGCATCCCAAGAAGTGAGTTTTTCATATTTGATTAATGAATTTCCTAGTGTTGGAAATCTGTTTGCTGCAGGGATGCCGTTATTTGTTTAATGGAAGACATGACGATTGCTTTATATTTGGTGGAGTCGACTGGCATACTAACCGAGCTGGATCGTGTAAAACTAAGTGGAAATTTATCTGGAAAAGGCGGTGCTATATCCTGGGCCGGTAATAGTTTGGCGATTATAACAGGTGAGTGGTGTTTTTATAAAAATAAATACAAATGCAAATATTCAGGATGAGAGTAATACATACAAAAACTTTTCAATATTCCATTTCCAATTTTAAAATTTCTTCGACTCGTAGGTGATCTCAGCGTACGCATTTGGGACATTGAAAAAAGTGATAATTATCTATTAAAAATGGATTTGCCTACAACTGGTAAGCTAACAATTTGAAATATTATATGCTAATAAAGGAATTTTTCAATTTTTTTGGCACAGCAATTTCCGTATTGGCGTCCTCCATCAGTCTCGATGTTAACTCGTCAAGCACGAACGTTTTTAATACGGAGAGTAGCGATAAATCCTCTTCGACGATGAATAGCCGTAAGCTTCAGAAATTCATACATCCCACAAATGAACTCTTCACCTGCCTTGCATACAGCACGAGCAACCAGACGCTTTGTGCTGGCACCAACCAGGGTAATCTATACACTTGGAAACGACGTGTAGGCGTCTTTGATATACCTGAAGACTCATGGCAGTTGACCAATATTTCGACAGTGCGTGGCGCAGTTAAACAGTGCATTTGGGGTTTCAATGAGTTGGCTAAGCCGTGTATGCTGATCAATTGCATTTCGAATGTTTATGTGCTCAAGGTAATTATGGACGATGTTAAATATTAGGTTGTGCCAAAATGCATTTTGGAATAAACCGCAGTAGTCGAGCGGTTAGAAGTGCGTTCTATCGTGTGGTAAATCATCGTTTCGAACCCTTAAAAAATGCAATTAATTAAACAACATGAAATTCCATCAACCCTTCGGGGCGTCTGTGGTTCGCTACATTTATTGAAGGAATTTCAAGCTGCAGAGGGTGCTCATCTGAAGATTTCTTCAGCAGTTATAAATCGGCAACTATATATATATATGGATTTATGTATATTTTTTTATCAGTAATAGTAATTTTCCATTTCAGGAACAACCGCTCTTATCCTTTCACACACGCGACTTGTGTGCTGTCCAACGCAATGCCAAGTCAATTTACTTGGAGCACTCAATCGGTAAACATGCGCTAATTCAAGCTGATTTTCCAATCATTGCCTTAGCACTTAATCAATTAAATTTGATCATAAGTAATGGACGTGCTATATCTGCATATAGCATTGAGAAAGTACAAAAAGTGGAAGACTACAGAGTGGATACATATACAGATGATAGCATAACTGCGGATAGCAATGACAAGGATCCAAATTTGAATGTTAAGCTGATACAAACCTTTAATGCGGAATGTTTAGGTTTAAACATACACAATCAGAACATATTTTGTCTAACCTCCAATGAGGTAATGATATACTCAATTGGTGGAGTGGTGCTCAATAAAATTTTGGCGAATGACAACGAAGGTGAGTTGTTGACGGAAGAGAATCTTGCATTCAGTATAACCTAATGACCTCAATGTAGGAAAAATAATTGGCATGGACCTGACCGGTGTCTATTTAAGTGTTTTCACAATGAATGGTTTCATTAAAGCCTATGATGTGTCTCGTCACGACCCGAAGCTGATGTTTCCTGGCAAATCGGGTTATGATTTATTTGATGATTTCGGCGAAGTAATATTGGTGAAATGTAATACTGCCGGTACCCATTTAGCTGTAGTGATTGCCAATCGCAGCTTTGTGCCTAAGCCGATCTTATATTGTTGGAACTTCGAGCGGAATCATTCAATGGAATATAATCTAATAAATAATATGAATGAAAGTACCAACAAATCAAGGTATTACGTTTTTGAGTTACCTCTTGAACTTTTGTTAAACTACTGAATTTCTAAAATACTCTAGTATGCCCGTAAACGTATACTGGGACACTGATGAGGCACGTTTGCTTACTATCGAAGTAAAATCAATGCAGCACTCGCAGGAACAAAAGCAAACTTTTAAAACTGGCAGAACTTCCAGTAGCAGCAATAGTATCGAATCAGAAGTTATGGTTTTATTTTTTTCGGATAAAGGTAAATTAAATGTGCTGGAAACACGACCTTTGGCACTAGGAGAGCAGCTAATTAACCTATGTGTGCCCAACGTGGTGAGTATGAAATTGAGAGAATTTCATTTTCTCTTTATGGTATAATTATTCATTTCTCATCCTTAAGGTAACTTTGGACATTAGCATCGTGAAAGAACGACCACTTCAAGACTTCGTTGACCTCAACAAATGTGATCCAAATGTACGCAAAATGGTTCTAAATTTCAGTTTACACATTGCAGAGGGGAATATGGATTTGGCTTATCGTTGTATACGCTCCATACAATCTCAAACGATTTGGACCAATTTGGCAAAAATGTGTGTACAAACTAGTCGCCTGGACGTGGCTAAGGTGTGCATGGGCCATTTGGGTAAAGCGCGTTCGGTACGTGCACTTCGTCAAGCAATGGAAGACGATGATCTTGAAGAAGAGGCCAAACTTGCAGTGCTTGCTACTGAGTTGGGTATGCATGATAAGGCGGTTGAATTATATAAAAAATGTGAAAGATACGATTTGTTAAACAAACTACTACAAGCTCGTGGAAAAATTGACGAGGTATAAATAAATAGCTTATACATATTATCATCACTAAATTTCAACTCCTCTCTTTTAGGCTATACTCATTGCAGAGACGGAAGATCGTGTACATTTGAAGAACACATACTTTCATAAAGCTCAACAGTTGAAAGAGAAAGGTGATATTAAAGCAGCACTTGAATATTTCGAAAAGTCGCAAAATCCAGTGCAAAATATTACACAAATGCTACTGGATAATCCGCTGGCTATGAAAGTAAGTGCTACTAGTTTTCTAATTAATTTTTTAATTGTATTCATTAAAACTGTATAGCGGTATATGCAAAATTCTACTGATCCTAAAATGCTTAAATGGTGGGGCCAGTATATTGAAAGTTCTGGAGATATGGACGCGGCTTTAGCGGTATATCAGAAAGCCGAAGATTGGTTTTCGCAAGTGAGTTTTGAATTTGGTCATGCTTTTTTGAATCTAATCATTTTGATTATAGGTGAAAATCCTTTGCTATCTAGGAAAAATATCAAAAGCTGATGCCATAGCTAGACAATCAGGCGATAGAGCTGCTTGTTATCATTTAGCACGACATTATGAGAATGTTGGGAAATTTCAAGAAGCCATCATGTTCTACACCCGCGCCCAGACATTCAGTAATGCTATTCGTATTTGCAAGGAAAATGATTTTCAGGATGAACTTTGGACCGTTGCTAGCTCTTCTCGAAGTCGTGACAAAGCAATTGCAGCAGCTTACTTCGAAGAATGTGGATCCTTTAAACGAGCTGTGGAGTTATATCATCGTGCTGGCATGCTTCATAAAGCCTTGGAAATGGCATTTGAGTCGGAACAACCGGAAGTTTTAGAAATAATAGCGTCGGAATTAACTGTCGAATCGGACGCTGAGTTAGTAAATCGTTGTGCAGACTTTTTTACGAGTATTGAACAGCATCAGAAAGCTGTTTATTTGTTGGCGAAGACGATGCATTTAAAACGATCTCTACAAATATGCATGGAGAAAGGCGTACCGATAACCGAAGAGCTAGCAGAGATGCTCACTCCAAATAAAAACGATTTAGATGAGACCTCCCGAAGTGAGATTCTTACTCACTTGGGAGAACTGCTGCAGCAGCAAGGTGACTATCATACGGCCACAAAGAAATTTACACAGGCCGGTGATAAAGTGCGTGCTATGAAATGTTTACTGAAGTCGGGTAGCACGGAAAAAATCATATTTTTTGCAAATATGTCACGACAACGTGAGGTATATATCATGGCAGCTAACTATTTGCAGGCACTAAACTGGCAAGAGGATGAGCATATACTGAAGCATATCATAACATTCTACTCCAAGGGCCAGGCATACGACTCGTTAGCAAACTTTTATGCAATTTGTGCACAGATCGAAATCGACGAGTACCACAACTACGAAAAGGCTTTAAAAGCTATGCATGAGGCAGCGAATTGCTTAAGGAAACTAGGTCATTCACAACATGCTCTCAACAATTTGGAGAAGACAATTGGAGATGTTAAAAAAATTTTGGATATACAAAATGCAATGAAAAATGGAGATAATCAAACTGTTATCTCCGGTTGCAGAAATATGCTAAGTAAGTCTGAAAAGTATGTTTACGGCAAAGTCAATTTTATCAAAATCTGTCGGTAAATTTTATTTTTAGTCAAACCGGAAACACCGCCCATACGTCAAGCGGATATACTTGCTACGCTGGTTCGCGCCTTGGCTTATACAAAACAGTGGGTTGAAGCTGGTCGTGCTTTAAAGGAGTTGGCTATGAAAGACAATGCATGGAACACAATTGGTTTAGTCGATAAAGCTTTGGTGCAAAAAATCACCAAAGAATGCAACTTAGATTTTGATATTATCTGGAATTCAGGACGCAGACGTGTGAATATTGACAACAGTGAAACCGAGCAGGATAAAGAAGAAGAGATAGAAGAAGAACTGCGTTAAAAATCATTAGATCCTTAGTAATACAACTATTCGTGGCTTATAAACGCGGTTTTGTGATAGTACACAGAGCGAATTGTATTTCAGAAAGACAAGAAATAAAAATAATATGAATGTCAACAAAAAAATATTTTTTATAAAAATAGTCAGCTCTTAAATTACCCTCTACCACAACACCCCATATATTTATACTTCAAAAGTTCATCGAATAAAACAAATGAACGTAATTTACTTATTGTTAAACAAAATAAACCACGATTTGTGATACCGATATTCGATTATTTTCAGAGTTTGATTATGAGAATTTTACAACGCCAATTTATGCCATCTTTTCCATATTTGTGTTATTTACCCTATGATAGCGATAACACATGGGATTGGCAGAGAACGTATATGAATACGTCTACGTATTACTAAAGAACGTAGTTTCGCAGCTGAGTTTGGCAGAGAACGTATAACATGTTATACGTTCTCTGAGTTTGGCAGCTGTCAATTAATTGTGAATGGGTTATTGAAGTTCCCTGCAAATATTTATTTGGTGTGGATTTTGTGTTATTGTGTTATAAAATTTGATTTTAGTTGTTTTTAAGTTTTCCCTAAAGTTTAACTTGTCTAGCATGATTTAATGGGCCCAGAGATTAAACATAAAGTGGTGAGTCAAATATATAATTGTGTGGCACAAATATTTGTTAGACAAATTGGTTGCAGTGCTGCATCTGCTTTGGTAAAGTTCATCTTGACCAGAAACAAATAATTTTTTGTGCACATATTTTCCTTCTTGCAGTGCCAATATTAAACGTTTATCTTATATATGTATGTCAATTCTTTGATTAAAAGAAAATGTATATGTATATTACCAGTTCTCCGGTAACAAATGCATATGCATGTATGTATGTATGTGTTATATATCTTGATCATTTTTAGGAATTTTGAATTAGTTTTCCAAGGATAATGTTATCTTCCGGTATGATTGGTATAATTATTGGTGCTTTCGAAAAGGTATATATCAACAAATATGCATGCAGAATTTTATTTGCCGAATCATCCCTTCGAGATTTACATTATACTGTTAAACATTTTCCCAAAACTTGCAATTTACTTGTTAAGTTACGCGATTATTAATTTCAAATATCAGCAGAATACTTCAGGAAAGGTACAAAAATATGGCCCAACCAAATATACAAATGATTTTATAAATATGCTTGAATGAAGCTCGATGACTTGAATCCTATTGGATTCCTCAAAATAATCTAGTTCGAAATTCCATTTATATACATATGTATATAAAATTGGCGCTTTGCAACCGCTGAAGTGATTTTCGGCCGAACACCACCTCCATTTGATGGATTCGTGTCTTGATGTTTTTTCCATTAAATGAAGAGACCTACTGTTTATACCAAGACGTCTCCCAATGGCTGATTGTGTTTTTTATGAGTAACCTTTATTTCATGTCAAAAATACACTCGAAGGGGTTGACATTCCATGTCGAGGAGCGACCGCAATTAGAAAATTGAATGTAATTTATTTGTATTAACTAATTTTCTATAACTTTTGAATGTTGGTCGTACCAGGGTTTGAACCCAAGCTTTACGAATAGCAGTACGCAATAATAATCACTCGGCAGCCACTCTTAAGCCTACCCCATCGTTGTTAGATAGTAGATATATGTATGTGTGTATAGGTATTTTTATTTGAGCACTGGGATATTAGCATTTCGACTCCGAACTGCGATTTGTATCAAACCTTTAATTTTGTACATATGTATATATGTATTTCTATATATGTATGCACTTATATTTACTCTTATAGTACATACATTGCATATACCCCGAGTTTGTTTGCCGAATAGTGACCGATTGTTTAAAATTGTTGTCTCATCCAAGTTTGCTACCGCGCACTAAACGATCGGCAGGCCAATTGCCTATCTGCATTAAATAAAATCCTCGTCAGTCTGTTATTGCGGTGTCGTCTCTACACTTTTAGCTACTTAGTTTTAGTCATTCATTCGGTTCCATGCTGGAACGACGTCTATACACCTGCTGATCGTCTGATCTACTCGCTCGTGATAGCATTTTGTGCATAAAGTCTGTGATTGTATTTGTGAGATTGTGTGTTATGTTAAATAGTCATTTTTTTCCAGTTTTCAAAAGAAATTTTTTTTGGTACCTATACTAAATTTGCATTAAGCGCTACTCAGAGCAGTTGGAAGAGGGTACAACATTGCAGATTATCAACCTGCATGTATTCAAAGATATTATAAAGTATTTTTAAAAATTAAAATCAACTATTTGATAATAATTTCTCTCGGTTTAACGAGTGGAGTTAAATAAGCACTAAATTAACTGCCCGAACAAGTCTACAGTCTCTCTCAATTTAAAAGAGAGACATCAAAACTTGAAGCTAAATCGCTCAAACAACCACGTCTTTCGCACAAGTGGGTGTACAATTTTTTTAAACTTAAATCGTAAATTTTGTGAATTACTTGACTTCTTCAAATAACATATATATACGTGCAGAAGAAAGGTAAGCCTAAGTTAGAAAATTATTTGTAGATAATGTATGTAGGTATTTTAAAATAAAATTTAAATTTAGGTGTAACAATATTTTTTTTTTTCAAAATTTTTTAATTTATTATTTGAACCAAAAAGAAGATTTAAATTCTGTTAAAATATACAATTTTAATAAAGCGATTATTTTTTTATTTCAATATATTCGAAATGTGTGTGTGTATGTTACACACATTTCCATACATACAATCCTACATATCTTTTAAATTAAAGTTAATATGCGCTCGTACAAGCTTGTGATATTGAATCTCTTTTTTTCAAATGTCTCTCATTCCGCCTTCTATCCGAATTAAGCCCGCCACCTTTCAAAAAATGTATTACATACATACATATGTATATACAAAATTATTTGTTGTAATTCATCTGTGATTATCATGCGCTGTTAACTTTGTTGCGACGCCGATTGTGTGGCGGTCAAGGTTACACCATTCGTACATATACACATGAACAATACATACCTGTGCGTAGAGATAATAATTTATGTTTCCTTGTTAACTTTACTAATTTTGATAATTGTGTTATACTTCGAAAAAAGCAAAAGTTAAATCGTAAAATCCAAGTGGAACTACGAAATGAAATGAAAAAGATGTGAAGGAATGATAGAAGAATTATGGAAAGAACATTTTACTATAATAATAAAGGTATTTAAAAGTTGCTATAAAAGGCAGTTATATTAAAATTTTAAGCTAGGCATAATAAGGCAAACAAGTGTTTTAAATTAGAAAGTTAAAGAGATGGAATATTTTGTTCAATTCTGTAGAATGTATTTTTTCCCACAGAATATGCTACGAGGAAGACCATCGGCTCTAATTGCAAACGTTTCTATAAAGTTCTATATAGAAATGCATTAGAATAAAGAGTAGGGTCCACCACCTGTTGGTCGTCAAACATTAAGACACAAATTAGTGGAGGAGCACGATCAGAAATCGCTTCAGTGGTTACAAAGCGCCAATTATATATATATATATAATCTGACATACATATATATGCAGCGATGTTAAAATGTTTAATTCTAGCATTGTATTGTATTTTTTAATTCCATAAATTATTGCATCATTTTTGCAAGTTATAAGCACGCAACTAAAAAATACATTTTACCTTATTCTCGGAATTATCTTTATGCGACATGCGACGGAATTTGATTGCTCTTATCTAATTATAATGAAAGGGTTAGAGTCCCTTTTAAACAAATTTAAGTTAAAGTAAATACTTATTTACCTGAGTTTTATTTATAGTATCTAGAAATAGGAAACATCGTATTGCAATTTAATAATATAATTTTGTTAATCAAACGTAATAAATTTCATTAAAAATACTAGTAATTACAGCATTAAGTAAAATACACTAATTATATATAAAATATAAGTGAAGCAAAATATTTACTCATACGTATGCAGAGTAGTTGCGAATTCGAAAATAGCAACAATTCTGTGGAATATAGTAAAGCCATAACTAATATTTAATACTTACTATCTACTATACTATATTAAGTATAGTGTTTTGTCCCAAGTTCCAATTCGATTATGACTCATTGTACCATTCATCTACAGAGTTCTTTATCAGCTTACGATTTTGTGTCGTTTTTAGTGATAATTGAATATAATCGCATGACATATTTTTTTTATTTCCAACGAAAACTTTCTAGCGTGACCTAGCAAAACATACAATGGCTTGCGCAAATGAGCAAGCTAGTAACCATTAATTTATTTTTTGTTTGTTTATAAAATGTAAATAAAAACAAATATAAAAACGAGAAAAACTTTATAGTTTTCTTGTTCATATCAAATTTATGGCAATTTCTTTTAGGATTAAATATTATTTCTCTTATCTGAAAAATTGGTTGGATGGGATATAATAAGGAAATTTTCCGATTTCTCGTGTAGAATACCGAAATTCGGGCTTTTGAAAGCTTTTTTATGACAGATTTTTGACCCAAACACCTCATATCTGAAAAAATCGGTTGTATAGGGGCTATATGATATAGTCTTTCGATTTCGATTATTTGCAATGATATTGTTTATTTGTAGATAAAAATGCACAACCCTATTTGCGTATACACAGTTTCACAGGCGGATATGACTAAACCAACTCAACTCGTAATTCTGATCTGAACGATATACATTTTGATGGCAAGGATGAGCCCTTTGATATTTGGTATTTACATACATACTACGGACCGAAGTTAATATACCATTTCATGTACACGAAAGTTGTAATAAAAAAATAATATACATAAGATATTTTCATAAACCCCCTCCCCAATAGAAATTTAAGCGGGAGTCATCTCATTTGTTTGTATATACTTAAATTAATATAAATAGTTTGGTGTAAATTTCTATTTTTAGCCCTCAACAAATAAGAATAATCCACTTAAATCAACAATTTAGCTTTTTTATATTACTTTTTTTTGACAGAAAACTCAACTAAATTAATGAATAATAGAGTGGACGGTATATAGTACATACATATGCACATATATTGCAGTTTAGCTTAAGTTTATCTGGCTGTCCAAAGGCTTTACTGTTAATTTTAAACTCGTTTTAAGATTTAAATATAGCTAAACTATTGTTGGACCGAATTTTCGATAAAAAATCCTTAATTTCCATTGGGTATCGACATAATAATATTAATTAATATAACAAGTGAAATATTGACATGAAACTGACTTGATTATTTTCATTATAATTTCTGGTTTATGTGTATGTTTATGTACTTCGGCGCATGCGATTGCCACTCAAGTGCGTGTAGGCAATGAAAATAATTTAGTGGTACGAGGGTGGAACCTTAAGTTGCTGAGAGCTCATACATGGAAATCTGAAAATCTAAATAATTTTTAATTGCACGATTTTCATGAAATTTTATGCAGAGGTAGCTTTTTGATTAAATTGACATTGGAAACACTTTTACTTCCGAGATGTGTACTGATCTGTTCGAAAAAACCGGTTCAGTTTATATGAAATTTGTTACAGAGATAGTTTTTTGCCAAAATTAACGTCGGCAACACTCTTTCTTCTAGAAAATAGGTCTGGAATCCATTAAATGGTCCGGTTTTGCTTAATATATGGAACGTAGATAGCTCTTTGTATATGAAATTTTTTTTTTTCGGGATCGATCTATCTAAAAGAATTTGTTTATGGTTCGATTTGTCTGAAATTTTACGCATAGGCATAGAAAGCTCTTTGCCTGGGCCAATATGCGTAAGACTTTTATTTCTTTTCATACGTTTCACTCTAGTCTTTATATACATATCTAAGGACTTTCCTGAATAACTGACGGATGAATCCACAGCCTAAACCACTGTTGGAAGGTGTCTACTACGAATGAAGTAGGCATCCGATAAGAAAGCTTTTCCCTGAATATGTACATGGGATCGATCTATTCCAAAAAATTTAATTTATTTTTGAATCGTTGGATTTACATGAAAATTGGTATATATACAGCTATATATGTATAAGAGTTTATAAGTTACATTAAAATGGAAAACATAAAAACCAAAAAAAAAAAATTTTATTAGAAATATCCTCATATTCCAAATGAACGAAGTTGCGAGCAAAGGTTTCTTTATAGGAGTCAATGAATATTTTTCGGTTTTTACAGTTGGCAAATCATTAATTATTAAAAACAATCTATTAACTTGTAATAAATATTTGCTTCATCTGAAGAAAACTACGTAGATTTGCTCTCACCTCTTTCCACTTGGCCGAGTTATGTGGTTTGTACGAGGTGTGTTCAAAAAATATCGCGAATTTTGTGTTTTTTAAAAAATTATTTATTTATTCATGAATATCTATTTTGTCCGCTTCGAAGCACTTCAAAAAATCATTTTTTTTATCTTGTTCAGCTCCTCCTTCGATGCCGTCTTTATCTCGTCAATCGTAGCGTAACGTCGTTTTGGATGGCCCCTAACTATTAAGTTTCAACTTTTCCCATCTAAAATAATTGAAATAAAATTTTTATTCGAGAAAATTTACTATTTTTTAAATGAATGTAGAGTGCGTCATAGTTTCAGTTTCAACAAGTTACTAAAGCATCCATTCACTTTTGGATAGCCCTTGCCAATTCAGCTTTCAAGAGCGTTAATATCATATAGACTCTTATCAAACCACCCTCGTTTCTCGAGACATCAATAAAGCAAATCATTCCTCACTTCATAGTAAATAATTTACAAACATATATGTACTTATAATTATTTTATTTGTTTTCCGCGCGATAATCAGTCGAACAGCACACGTTAGAAATTACATAGTTCAAAATTATAAAAAATTAAATTATTTCATTATACTTGTATATAAAATATATATATGTACATATATACGAAGCTACCGAATGTATTGAAAATTGGAAATTAAATTCCCCTTTTTGTTGTGATTGCGTCATAATTATTAGTTAATATTTATGCCAATTCATTAGGGGATAATAAAGTAAAAGTGTACATAAATCAAACTTAATTGAAATAAATAACTTTATAAATGAACTTACTATTTACTTTGTTTAAATTGATAAGGGAATAAATATGTACGTCTCGCGCGTAATGACAATGACTCGCATATTCGCACTATAAAGAGAGTGAATGTGAAGTCTAGCCTGGAAGATATCTTCTAATTGTTCTTAATCAGACAGAGTTTTTAGCAGAATTTGAAACACATTATGACTATTGCTGCGGCGCTAAAACATTGCTGATAAATAATTTTTTATTCACTTTTTTGATAAGTAAGCGCGCAGTATTTTGATAATTTCTATGCTTGGATAGATGAACAATTTGTATGTACGTATGTATGCAGTTATACTATAGACGCTCTTTTATGTTATGACATATTGTCAGCTCGCACCTTCCATCGATACATAGACAATAACAATCGCATCATGATAATAATAGCATTATATATATATGTAATATATACGTAAATATGAAATATTCAGCAAGTCATGTTCGATTTTTTCGATTAACTAATCTTC